TGAGCACATGCCTGGAAAAGATGCTGCCCAAAATGCTTAAATGATACCAGAAACAAGCCAGAATCAAAAAAAAAAAAAAAAAAAGAAAGAAAAAAAAAGATAGTTATGAAATTGTATCTTGTCCTGCCTTCTCTGCCTACAAACATCCCCTCTTCAGTTTCTGAATCATTTGATTTGTATTATGTAATTTAAAAACAATTGAGCATACAGAGAAATGGATCTGAAATTTGGGATTACCAGCACTCTATGTGATTTTTGAGTTCTCAAAATAGGGGAAGAGAGGAAAATATTGGCAGGGGGAGCAGTTGCAAGTAAAAGTTAGAAAACTTCTTTGAAGCTTATCCATATTTCATCCATGGATCAACATCCCTTTGAACACAGAATCTATCAGGACTGCCAGATTTGCAAGGGTTTCATGAGGGCACTGCTTTTACCAAAAGAACAAAAAGCATCGTTCAGATCAATACAGGCACCATGGCACATACATGAATATCGTATCTGTATACATACAGGCAGCTCAGTAACCACTTGCAGAAACACTTTCCGAACAAGGGAGGCTTGAATTTTAGAACCACAGAATCATTAAGGTTGGAAAAGACTTTTAAGATAGTGTAATTCAAGTACCAACCCATCCCCACCATGCCTACTGCCCAGGTCCTCAGTGCTGTACCTCCATGTTTCTCAGACACCTTCAGGGATAGTGACTCCTCCACCTCCCTGGGCAGCCTGTGCCAATGCCTCACCACTCTTTCTGAGAAGAAATTTTTCCTAATATCTAACCTGACCCTCTCCTAGGTGCAGCTCAAGGCTTTTTTTGTCCCGTAGCTGTCACCCAGGAGAAGAGGACAACATCCACCTCACTATAGCCTCCTTTCAGGCAGTTGTAGAGAGATATAAGGTCTCCCACAAGCCTCCTATTCTTGATAGTATACAACCTGTATCAGCAATCTGTCACACACATGGAGAAAAACGATGCCACAGTGGCATCACATCATCACATATGAGGTTTTTATGTTTTCTCTTTTGTGCGGACACAATGGAAGCATCCTTACAACTTTTAAGCAACTTCACTTTCCTTCTTCCCATGTTCAGGTGAGCAAGGAAAGTACATTATTAGGGAGGACAGTGCTCTGCCTCCTAACTCAGGAGCCACAGGGAAATTTGCTTTCCTGGATCATCTCTGATCTTTCATCGTAACCACAAAATGAGAAGACAATATGCTCCATGCCTTCTATGCAGTCACAGTAATGACATCCTATACAGGTGAAAGGTGACTGGAAAAAGAGGGAAAGAGCTCTGCCTGGCAAAAATTTGCTTTTTTCCTGCTACAAATACAAGTAGAGATACAAAGAATATCTGCAAAGAGCATCTACAAAAAGCGTGAGCAGCACCAGGTCAATGCTGGAATTTGTTCTCCTTGGAAAAAATATTTGATGATACATTAGCAAATGACTAGCACTCATTAGACTTAGTTTTTCCCCATGCACTTTCCACTGCCTGTCAGCACAACTGAGTCAGACTACACAATGTTCCTGTTCCTGGGGGCCAAAGGATTGCTCCAAAATCTGATGCAGAAGGAGCTTTGCCACAGAAGACTTCCTTCATCTCTTACTTCAGTCAATCTAATCTTGATATTCAGTTTTGGCACAACCTGGTTTTACTCCAGAGAAACCAAAGTAAGCAATTTCTTACCTCTAAGAACTAGCTTCTCCTCCACTCCACAGACTTAAGTTAGAGTTGAGATTATGTTTAAATTTTACAGTCACATCACATGCCCTTAGTTTGCTGATCAATGATTAACTCAGCAATAGGTCCTGAACATAGCTGGACTGTGTTAAAAGCATGCACCTCCTTTTGTCTTCTCAAAATTAAATCTAGCACTTGCCAGTATTTGAAATGAGGATTCAACTAACTGACATTACAGTTCTCAGTTCTTGGGACTATTGTGTCATCAGTATGGAGCGAGTGCCTTCTGCAGAACTGAGTATGTACAGCAAAGGCTTTCCAGCACTGAATAAATAGCCTCTTATTTGCTGGACCTTCTGCTGGCCTTTGTTCCCAGTTCTCATCACTCACAGTGACTGAACACTTGGCTCGTAAGTGCAGACAAGATCTATACCTGTCATACCAAAAGTCAACTACTCAAGGTAAACCTGACATGAGTAGTGCCATCCAATATAAAGATCATAAGAAGTCAAGAGAAAGGAAAGTTACTTCATTTTTTTTCTATTCTTTCCAGTACAGCATAGAACATTTTCTTGTCCTCTCTGGTTTAGATTCCCAAAATACAAAGCATGACAGCTTTCAGGAACCAATACTTAGCTTTACCTGAATGTCCAGCCACTCTGGACTGCTTTCCACTGGCTCATATTCAGACACCATAACTGCAGTGGTCTGAAAAAGAGGGAAAGAGCTCTGCCTGGCAAAAATTTGCTTTTTTCCTGCTACAAATACAAGTAGAGATGCAAAGAGTATCTGCAAAGAGCATCTACAAAAAGCATGAGCAGCACCAGGACAATGCTGGAATTTGTTCTCTTTGGAAAAAATATTTGATATATTAGCAAATGACTAGCACTCATTAGACTTAGTTTTTCCCCATGCACTTTCCACTGCCTGCACAACTGTGTCAGACTACACAGTGTAGTGTAGTCTACACAGACCTTATGTCTTTGGTTCACTCCTTTTGGCAGTCTCCTTTGAAGGGGCAGAAATCCAGCTGCTCAAGTCTGTTCTCACACCTGCAAGCCTCAAGCAATGTACAACAGGTCAACTCATATCAGTCACTCACACTATGCTCTGCCCGTGCCCCTTACAAAACAAAACCAACCAAAAAAACCAGTCCTTCATGACCATGAAATTTCAAACATATATAAATGGCTAACAATTTTTACCGTAGTCCTATGCAAACCATAGCAGTAGTACCTGTTTAATTTGGAATCTTGTGAGAGGTAAAGAAAGCAGAAAGCCCTGAAGAGCAAAAGTGAACCTTAATTTCACATTGTCTTCTATTACCCTCTAAATGATATCATCTTTTTTTTCACGAACCTCATGTTTGGCCCTGATGAAATAAACCTTTTGAAACTTGTCTGGTCCCAATAGTTTCTGTGAGACTATTCATGGTCAAAGCTACACATGAATACAGGACTCTCTGCCACCTTTTCTTTTAGCATTATTTATCAAGTTAACCCAGAAGATACTAAATTTCAGGAAAGAGTCATTATATAAACAGCTACTTAGATATTTCACCAAACAAGTATGAGTCTCCAGGACCATGAAACACTGTAAATCACAGAGCTGAAATAAACAGACTTTACACTTTCTAAATAACAAGAAAAGTGAAGAAAATGTGGCTAGAATAAAACAACAGAAGCCAAACCCTATATTCAAACAGCACTGAGCAGCCACTGAAATCAGTCGGTATTTTTTTATGAGTCTAACAAGGCCAAATTCACCTTGGAGAGCAGACAACGTGTTTACTATGCTGTCTAGACACAGCAGAAAACATAGCATCGTAACCAGTAACCAGAAAATGACTGTTTCCTGCAATAAACACGCTGCAAAAGAAATAAATAAATAAATGAAAATCATCTCCTGTATATTGCAGTGCACGTCAAGGGTAGAAATGCAGTTCCTTTAATCATCCTGTGCACCTTCAGGAGCTGCTTACAGCTCGTTTGCTTGTTTTAACTTTGTTTTAATGTTCCATTGGATGCATGGTTTCTTTTCTTTGGTTGGTTCAAATGGGAAAGATTTTGAAAAGAAGGAAAGATTGATGTCACTGTGGTAGGATGAAAGTAGGCCAATAAACAGACAGCAGATGAACACCGGTTGATTTCTGAGCTTCAGAGAACTTTTCTGAGGAGCTTTCAACTGATAAAAATTCAGGAAGTCTATTATATAAGGTATTTCTCTCCAGAAACATTTCTTTCAACTGAGTATTCCCAGCACAAACATCAGGCTCACAGCTCTCACATTTGAAACTCCAGTAGCATCTGCATGACTGGGACCTTCTGTACTTTTTGCCCCCAAATTAGTACCGAGTCTAGTGATGAATTCGGGCAGAACTCACTGAGCTGTTCCAGCACTTAAAAGCCAGCAGGAAAAGACTCAGCAATTGAAACAAACATCAAAAGATGTTATCTGGACATATTCACTCAGAAAATATGAACTTTGGAAATGCCAAAACATTCTTCAAATGATGTTTGCTGACGGAACAGTTTGTGTGGTCATTTTTTTCTGTACTTTAAAATTTAACAAACTCAGATGGAGAAAAGGCTAAACAAAAGGGATTTGGGAACTCTGAAGAATCACTTCTAAGGACCTTGAGCTGAGTAGAAAATGCTGGTCGCTTCCAGCTGAGAGATCAAGGATTTGGGGCGCACGAAGAAAGAACATAAGACAGAGGAAATGTTCACATGTAGTTAAAAACACAGTACCACCACTATAAACTTTTAGAAATCTCGTATGATAGAACAGTTCCTTTCCTCTTCTCCTGCAACCAGGGGTTTTCTGTGGCCAGTAGGAAAGCCACAAACAACACTCTGCATCCCTGTAAGCTTCCAGTATGTTCCTTCAGGAAGAGAGCCCTCTTCTCTTTCAGGGTCTCTTGAGGCACCAACTTCATCACACCTGTTTCTTACAAATGCCATTGAGATCCTGCTTGGCCTCAGTTCTGCACTGGGGCAGCCTTTCTGCATACAGAACATCTCACTGTACAGAGACTGAATAGTGGAGTTAAAAAAGTAGTGTCAGTCCCTTGACTTTTGCTGAGGTTCCTGTGGTCAAAATTAGCTCCCTCTCACCCTCATGAAATGGCCCTGTGAATAAATTATTATATAAACAAATATATGTGCATTTGTTTTTCATAGATATATTCATGCATTTATTTGTTCTAGTGCAAAATGTATTAGAGAAACAGCATTGCTAGATACAGGCAAGCAAAACCAGATTGATGGTGTTTGTTTTAATCGTGACAGTAGGTGAACAATTAGAAAAAAAAAAAAAAAAAGGATGGGATATAGGACTGTTTGAAGCCTGCCCAAAGGATCAAACTAGAAGGTACTGGACAGGACCACTGTAGGGCATCTCTGAGCTCCACAGGGCTCTGCCATCCTTGGGCAATGTTGCATGGAGGTTGGTGGTAACTTCCTGGGCTTCCCAAGTAGATGCTGAGGTCTGAAACTACTTCAAACTCCCCGATTTTAGTGAATCCCAGAGAAGGGCATATATATGGATTTGTTTTTTTCCCTTGGTGGTGCATCTTGGCTTCCTTGCAGCCACAGACATCAATGTTGGAGGAAGGCCATGCAGATGAGTAGCCTAAGTCTACTTTCACTGTCAGAAAGTCAAGTAAAAAAGGATCTCTTTATGACAGTGTTGATCTCCCCAGCGACCTTTTACTGAGTGCCTGTCCTTTCTTGAGACTGGAGAATTAGTTTCCCTTCTATTCTTGGTTTGAAGTGATAAGCTTGTTCCTTTGCCCTGGGACTGGACAATGGACAAAATCAATTCTCATTTAAGAAGCTACAGTCATTCGCCTTTTCCTTTTCCTGCTGCCTTTATTGATCCCCTGAGCTCTCAGAAACACTATCAATTCTGCTGAAGCCCAGCTTTATTTGAAAAGGAACTTTGACGATGGCTACAGTTCCTGAGAAAAGTGTCCTCTGTAGATTCCTTGCTCTTCTGAGAGCCAAACGAAGGCCATTTATCCCATCTGTGAGAGACTTTTGAGTTTGGAGCCTTATGCCATGATTCTACTGAGTTCTTGTCACTGTGACTCTCATCGCTCTGAACCAACAAAAGAAAAAGGAAATATACTCTGGAGAAGAAAGAGAAACATGACAGCTTTTTCCCAGATGGCATTTTCAGCCTCTGATTCTATGACTATCAATTGCTTTGAGATAGTCAGCATGTCTGTAGCAACCTTTCCAGATGCTGCATCCACCCAGTCCCATAATACATTCTGGATTAACACAAGGAATTGGAGCATTAGCTCATACTGAAACCCCCACTGCAAATGACATCTAAAACACTTTTCAGTACGGTCCTTACATTAATGTAAAAGACTATACAGGGTAGGAGAGAGAACATAAAGCCCTCATGATTGCACATGTACATCTTAGCAGATATAGGAGGTTTCTTGATGTCGTTGTTGCTGTTATTCTTTACCTGGTAACTTACTGTTCCAGCAGAAACAACGTTAGTCCACTAATAGACTTGTAGATTAGATGTTATGTCTAAATTAAACTGGGGCTGAAATCAGGATGATATAGTTGAGCTCTTTCCAGCATAGATTAAGCTAGTGTGAATAGAATGGAAGAAAAAAGTGCCTACATAGATGCTATCAACCAGGCAGGAAGAAGTGCCTGCCTGCTCAGCAAGACTATTCCTCTTACGTCTGCAGCTGCTTATTGCCCATGCACTGCCTGCAACCACACAGAGGGGTAGAAGAAGAGCTGCATCATTTGGAGATGTAATGCAAACATTGGTAGGACAGGTTTCTTACGCCAGAGAATACTATTGCATGCTTGAAGCTACATAATAATGTACTCGGAAAGAAAGCACCATGTGAAAGCACCATACAGCCTCCATTCTGCCACAGCCATGTCTGCATGTCTCCCCTCCAGAAAGGAAAAGATGATGGATCAACTGAGCCGTAGATGTGCTAACATTGCTGTTGTATCTACTTGAAAAACTTAGATAACAGAACAAAAGAATCATTAAAGTTGAAACAGACCCGTCAGATCATCCAATCCTCACTATGTCCGTTAACCATGTCCCTTAGTGCTCCATCCTCATGTTTCCTGAACACCTCCATGGATGGTGATTCCACTACCTCTCTGAGCAGCCTGTTTCAGTGCATCACCACTCTTTATGAGAAAAAAAAAAAAAATGTTGCTAATACCCAGCCAGAACCTCCTCCATTCAACTTGAAGCCAATCCCTCGTCCTGTCATTGTTACCTGGGAGAAGAGGCCAACCTCCACCTTACTACAGCCCATTTTTTAGGGAGTTGCAGAAAGCAATGAGGTCTGTCCTGAGCCTCCTCCAGATTAAACAATCTCAGTTCCCTCAGCTGTTCCTTATAAGACCTATGCTCCAAAAAACCCCCAACACTTCTATTATGTCCTTATATCCACTGTTATCTGTACTCCTGAGTCTTTCTTTCTACTTGCCCTTTATTGCATGCCACTGGGGATATTTCAGGAGGATGTGTTAGAACTTTCAGCATCAGCTCATGAAACATATGAGTCATGTATCAGGATGCAGTTATGGATACAGAGCTTATCCAGACAGGTCTAAACTCTCAATACTGATCTCCCATCCTGTTTTTAGAACTGACAATTTTCCTCCATCTGATCTGCATTATGTATCATCTTAAAACCAGTTTCTTTACACACACAAAATAAGCTGCATTCTTCATTTTCCCAGGTGATGTTGTCAGGAAAAAAAATAAAAGCACCAGGGAAATTACATCATGTGCCTGAAGTGCATGCCATCATTCTGAATTTATTTATAAACCAATCTATAAAATATCACCCATTGCATAAATCTCCAGACATGCTTCTATCTTTAAGAACAGGGCCATGCAGTGAGAATTCCAGGCAGATTTTCTCCAGGATTCATGGATGAAAAACTATGAAACTGCCAATGAACAAGAAACTAACTTCATTTAACTTTTAATATAACATTTAATAACATTTAATCATTCAACTTGATTTGTTGAATCAAAGGTTCAACAAATTCCAGCTAAATATTGATGCAATAAGAAATACTGTATGTAGATAATCACCTTGAAGGATCTGTCTGCCCTCCCTGTAGCTGTTCTAATCTGGCTTTCTTAGACCTTACTTGCAAAAGTTCATGTTATGAATTTGCTAGTTTATGATGACTGTTTCCAGGTGTTGCATGTACAAGCTCAGTGAAGTTGTTTTGAATCAAGAAAAAATAAGGGCTGGTAGCAAGCAGTCCAAGGCTACTATAAAATCCAGACTTCTGCTGCTAAATGCAAGACAGCACTAAAATTGTAGAAGTTGTCACTGTCTGAACATAAGGTTAATCTTCTAAACCATTCCTAACAGCACGATAGCTTCTTATTTGAAAGTGGGCAATAAGTTTTTATAAAATAATCATCAGTATGTCTGGAATAAGAAAATACAAATGGTGACCTTGATTCCCTGCCCAAGTGTACTAGGTTCACTAAGCGGATATTGGTAATTAGCTCTGATTTTTCCTATGTCTGAAGCACATTTATTATTTAATAAGTTTTGAAGTGCCTGAATGTGTTTCATTCTCAATGAAAAATTTATGCTATGGGGCAATCAACAGTTTTCTCTCTCCAGTCAATAAGAAGGTATTTATATACATATGAAAATAATGTTAAGCCACAGGAAAGCGTGAGGGACAGTAGTGTGCATGAGAGGATGTCTCTCATTTTCTCTTATTTGAAATGTGCAAAGCAACTGCTGAGTTGAAGAAGTTAGCAATGGAATCTAAGGAATGTGCTAAGAAACTTGGAGAACATATTGGGAAAGAGTTTTTGAAGACTTCCATTTTGTGTTTAGATCCAATGCATATGTAGAGCCACAGATATAAGTTTAAAGGCACTAGGAGCTAACAGTATTAAAGAAAGTATTTGGCTCAGCAATTAGCAAATAGAGATAAGTTTTCTGCTAATTAAAAATAAAATATCCTTGCACTTCCTTCTGCCTACCATAATTCAAACAGACTCTGCAGCTAAACATAAATGTTTTTTGGCAGCAGGAAGCTTAAGCTTCTTATTTGCCTATCAAGGTCTGTGTAGTTTTATGCTCCAGCTGAAACGTTTTGGGAAGTGATTAGCTATTCATATTCTTTACACTCAGGAGAATGCCCTGGCACAGGTCTAGGGGAGTTGAAAGAGCCAGAGGGAAATGCTGCGTTCTCCTCGGGAGTGCACTCCAGCTCACAAGGCCTGCAAGGATCCACTGAGATGGGTGCCCTCTGCCATGGTAGATGAGCCACTTGATATCCCTCTTGGAAGAGCCCCAATAACTCCTTTTGCAAGAGCAGGTGAGAGGTGAGGTGTACGCAGCCAGCGCTGAGTCAGGTAGCTCATGGTCTTTCCAAAACGCAGCGTGAGTGGGCCAGATGTCTACTCTGGGTTAAGAGTAAGTGGACAAATACAGGGTAGTGGAATCCTTTGATGCTATGAAGTGCAAAACCACTTGGCTTAGAAGTTCCTTGGTAGGAAGAGCATACCCAGGAAATATAACTAATACCACTGTATAACCTTTTTTTTTTCCCCCCCATGCACACTTGCTTAGTGATAGTTATAGATAGCATGCTGAGGCCAGAAGAGCAAACACAGTATGACCATTACCATGTCCTAACATTCAGCCTACACATGCAGAAGTAAACTCAAATCAAGATACTACCATAAAATTGTATTCTGGTTACAAAATGCTGAAGACTTCAAGCAGTGAATGGATGGGTCATACACCCAAAACCATATTAAGCAAATCAAGTTTAGTAACTACCCTGAAGTTTCTCCCTGGAAGAAGTACCTTTTCTGAAAGTCTACAGAAATTTCACTACAAGCAATGTAGTGAATGTACATTTTGTCTAATTTTGACAAATTCAGTTTGTTATACAGCTCTGATTCTAGAACTTCAGATTATGTTTCCATCCATACTGTAAGCAGTGAAAAAGTTCTGAGTCAATTTCACAATGAGTTTCATTAGCATGTAACTATTACCAGCAAAATCCAATCAGTAAAAATGAAAATGCAAATAGAGGGCTCACTTGCTTGGAGCTAAGATTGTTTCTCTTGAAACATTCAATATTATTTCTTCAGTAGTTGGGGCAAACAACTGTCTTAACAAGACAAGCTATTTTGAAAAGAACTTTAGGGAAAGATTTCCAAGTTTAAAAGACATAAAATCAGTGCTAAACATAACAGGTGAAGAAAGGATTCCAACTTCACATATGGCAAAGAGAGAAGCAATCTGCGGAAAGCCTGTGCTTAGAGCTGCCACTCCAATGTGTGGGTGAGCAAGATGAAGAAAGGTATTTTTATGCCCATCACTGCAGTTGCACAAAGAAAAGAGAATAAACAATGTTTTAGTTTACTTGTGTTTAGAAACAGAATGCACGCTCTTTCCACTGGGAGAAAACAAACCAGTTACTTGGGCTTCAGATTAACTCTAGAAATCCTAGCCACAGGAATGGCAAATTTTCCCTGCTTTCTACCCTGCTAGCCAGCTTTCTAGCAGTACTGTCAGTGTGAGGTGAATTGGGACTCCACTTCCAAAAAACATATGTAATTTACCCAAGAAAAGTAGAGCTGTAAAAATTTCTTATTTTGCAAAGCACATAGTCTAACAATTTAATTTAATTAGGTCAGGAGAGAATAGGCAGTGGCAGCCAAGCAGATCTAGCAAGATCTTTCCTAGTCAAACAGCAATCCCTAGGAGAATTGAAATATCATCACCAAATGTTACATCCCTAATTATAATATAAGCTTACTATAAAAATCAACAATGTTGTAATTATGCTTTCAGTAGAGCAGTAAGTATGTTCTGGTGGAAAACATACTGCTTTGTTATGTGGTAAATTCATTTTTTTGGCAGTGATAGGTTTACTCACTATAAAATACAACTTAGTTCTGAAAATGTTAATTTCATTAAATTTTAGTGAATTGAAGTACGACCCCATGAGGAACTACTGCAAACTTCCTGTTAATTGTTTGACTGGTGCCCAGGCAGGAAACAGAAATGAAGTAATTAGCACTGACATCAATGTCGTTGAAATATATTATTTAATGCATTTTGAAGAGCTTAACTGCCTTTTCTTAAAAATAAAATGCAATCTCCAAACCTGCATTGCTTGCTAAGTAGCTGGGTTTTTTTTTTTCCAGACAAGTGTTAAAGTTCCTATTTTTTCAATTCTACATCCATCACTAGCAAAATGGCGCGCACACACACACACACACACACACACACACACACACACACACACACACAGACTTGGCAAGAACTTATTTTCCTGGAAGTTGATAAGTGTGCAGAAGGAACTGGTATGGGAACTAAAAATTGTTTCTATTGAAAAGGTAAGAACATATAAGTACAAGAAACACTTAAAAAGAGACCTTTTTTGGTAAAGTATGACAGAAGTCTGCAAGTCTATCTCCCAAATAGAAAACCAACCATATCCAAAGCCAACCATATCCAAAGCTCACTTAGGGCTCTTGCAGGTGATCCGTGATTCAGGTCACAGGTGAAGATTAATTGAACCTTTTTATTTACTGTATGTGTTTTTTAAAATCTTATTGTGGGGAGAAAACTTTGGATAGTCATGGGTAAAATAAAAGTCAGAAAACAATCTTACATGTTCCTGAAAGTACATGAAGCCAGAACATAAATACCCGAGTCCAGTGTTTTCCCTTCAAAGAATTCTTGGTATAGCTCCCTCTGCAAAAAATACAGAACAACCTTTAAGTCATTGGTGATGAAGACAGATGAATTTATCCCAAACCATGCTGGGCACTCCTCAGTCCAGTTAGCTGCACTACGACAGAACTGGCACAACCATTGCCATTTTTCATTTATTCATTCAGTGGAGTCAATGCCTAAACTCAATTTTCTGAGATCATATTCACCTTGTCAGCCTTATCAGAAAGGCTTTTGACTGGCTGCTTTTCTATGCATGGCTGTCATACCAGACCGCTGCTCCAGTTAACTACCAACAGAAGAATCAGTTACTGACAGAAGATACCATTGCTATCCATTCTCGCTTGTCTTTAGGAACACTTCCCATCCCCATCCCCTCCCCCCCCCCCCCCCCCCAACTTTAAAATAGGTGACTATTCCACAGTCTTTCAATACGAATGGTCAGCAGAAAGCTTTAGTGCTGAACATGCTTTAATCATGCAAGACTTTTCTCATGCTCCTCTGGAATTTCTATCACATTAATCTCAGCAGAAGGTGAGAACATGGCATCCTGACTGCTTTGCAGTAACATCTAGCATTGATGACACAATTGGTGACATTGATGCTTCCTGACTTCAAGATAAAAAGAGACAGAATGTCCTGTTTAACACTGTCTCACCGGAAACACAGGTTGGACAAGCCTTCCAGACTTGCTTTTGTTCACAACTGTTACTGCAGTGTTTTTAAAGACTTCGCTTATCCTATGGACAAACTGCATCTTTGTAAATGTTTTTTAACAAATTATCATTCCAGAATTGCTTCTTGTGAAAGATGGTGAACAATTTGAAAGAGTGAAGGATCTTTGTGAGCTCCTGCATGACTGTCTGGCAGCAGGACTGCCTGTCCACTAGGAATTTGATTAAAGTAAGACTCATCAATTTAAACAGCCAATTCCCCTGTTGCCCATGCTAAAGACAAAAGGGGATCCAATTTAATTAATCACAGCCTGAAGGAGCATAATTAATTATAAAGTTTTACCAGTATCAACTTCCTGATCATAAGAGAGCTTGGAACACTGATGTCTAACCAAGAGAATAGCTCTGTGAATCTGATTGTTTCCCCTGTTCTTTAAGTGATGGTTAGAGGAAGGAGGAAGGAAGAAGAAAGTTAAACCAGTGTATTTGATTAGCATAGTGGACAAATCTGCCAAAACAAACAAACAACAACAACAAAAAAAAGCAGCAGTAGAGAACGTTCTTTGAAATTCCTTCTGGCTTCCATGTAAATGCATCTTTCCTTCTAACCTGATTTTGTTATGCAATTTATGGCAGTGACACCAATTACAGAAATGAAGAGTTGCAAAGGACTTCAAGAGGTCACTTAAATTGTCCTACTCAATCTAGGACAGAATTAATTCCACCTGGATGGACAGACATTTTTAAAACATATTTTAGAAGCTCATGTCTCCAGATATTCTACCACTTTCCTGCATTTCCTACCAGTTTCGAAAGAATGTTTTCCTAATACCTAACCTTATTTTCTGAGCTGTAAATTAAGCCAATTATTGTTTACCCTGCCTTTGAGTAAGAACAACTGATTAGGAAGTCACATTTTTACTGAGAAGCAAATTCCAACCTCCAAAATCAATTGATACCCCAAGCCAAAGCGCCATCATTTTCCTCAAAGTAAAACTGTCTTACCTCAAATTAGGATGATCAAATAGATTTGAAGAACATCTAATCACTTGTCTAATTAATCTTTCATATAATCAGCTAAACAAAGAATCTTCATGTAATCATTCAAAGAGGATCTTTTAGCCCTACCAGAATGGAACAAGAGGACTGAAATGTTTCCTCTTTCATGCTAGTGATAATTTACATGCCTATGACTTGTTCGGCTTTCAAATAAATTTAAATGAAAGCTCTTTAACCAAATCCTTAGTAAGTTCCAGACAGTAGCTTGCCTATTATTTTGTTTGTTCAGAAGGACAGTCACTTTGCTTGACATTTTCTCTTAAAAGAGAAGCCCTCCTGTTATTTGCAGTATGAATGTGTTAAAATATTACATGGAAATCATTACAGAATAAAATTTCCTTTAAACTATACCAAAGTTCTTTTACCAACATCACAAATCACTGAAATAGTTTTGAGATAAATTTAAACACATGAAACGGGTAGAGAGGAAATTGTTGGGGCACTAGAGAGCTGTCAGTAATCCTCTCAAAATCATAGGTATTGCATTCTTTGCTGAGCTACTTGAATTAAACATTAGGAGGGACCGGAACTGGAGCGGGTGGAAAAGCAGATCTGCTTTCTTCCTTTGAACTGTGAGCTGAACACCCTTTACCTGTTATGGATATGCCCATTATTGCACATAGTGGAGTATTACTAGTGAGAGATGGGCACAGTCTTTCTCCAGGAATGCATACAGACATTGTGAAAAACATCTACAAATAAGGAAAACCAAAACTTTTTGTTTTAAATTCAGTTTAGCCAACTGATGAAAACAGTTTGCAGTGTATGAACACATAAGAATACCTATGTTTAGGCTGTGATTTCTATGATAAAACTGAGAGTCATGTGCAGTAGAATGCAGTGGACCTCAGAACTTACAAACCTAACCCTTGGCTGGAACTTCCACAACACATGACTAAGTCATGCTTGTTGCTTATTTCTACCAAACAAGACACTTGATACAAAAGGAGACAGAAATAATGCCCTGCTGGCATTGCTGCTGCTTGATGAAGCTGCATCTCTGAATCCTGATCCGAGGCTGACTTACTGTCTCTAGAACTGCAACATCTCACTAGAGGAACAATGATGGATGGAGTAACCAGAGTAGTATCTCCGGTAGCTGAGGAAACTAGATGGCTTCTTCTGGTCAAATTATAGAGTCTTCACAAAGCCATTAAATGAAATACATATTCCAGCCTGAAAATTTCTTGGTTCAAAAGCACACATCAGTATCAGTTTCTGACAAATCAAGCACACAAATTTTCACTGACTTCCAGTGAAGTCTCCCTCTGTAAAGCACTGCATACTTCTACACCACTGTTGGCTGAGATGAGACACAGCATCGCCACTTCACAGTCTGACCAGGAAAACAAAAATTATCTCTTGTGCTAAAATTCAGAGATTTTTGACTACATCACACACTCAGTGAGCTGTCACGTACTGGCCGGTGGTAGTACAAGCGAACACACAATGATAAGTGTTAATGTATGGGAAGTGTCAATGTTCCTAGGTAACAAAGATTGTTATCTTCGTCTCTAGCAAAGGATGTTATAATAATTAAAAAAAAAAAACAAAACCAACAGCCAGGGCTTCTAAAACTCTTTGACCAAATTTCAGCATCCTTTTAACATTTCCAGAGTTCAAGTGGCTTCAATTACATTCAGTTTTCAATAGTAGTTTGCAGTTTTCCTGTGCTAGTGGTAACATGTGCGCTTACTGGGATTTGCCATTCAGTATTAGTTTAACAAAAAAAAAAAAAAAAAAAAAGGAACAAGAGCCCAACTTAATGGCAGCCAAAATATATACTTGAAGAGAACTTCTAAACCAGCCAAGAGGCAGCTAAGCACCTAACTTCATTCATTTCCAGTGGCAGAAATCATCAAATTCTCAAAAGCGCCTTAAAAACCTTTGGCCGGTTTTAATCTGTGATTCTTAGTCTCTTAACCTAAGCTATTACTCAAAACAGCCAGAAAAAATGTTGCTTAACCCGAGTTCTGTCTTTGCTCTAGACAAATTTCCTTTCTTTTATTGGAGTTCAAACCACGTGTGATGATTTAGACTATACTAAGTCCATCTGTACACTCATTTTTCACTTGTGTTAAGGGGCTCATTTCTCCTTCCAGGGAAATACTAAATTATGTGTGAAATGAAATACCAAACTATTGTATGTATGAAGAAAACGAGTCCCTCCTGGCCTTGTGTTCCCTTCTTGCACTATATTCACTGTAATGTTTACTGAGCACATACATAACTTCCAGAGCTAGACAATTTCACGCCCTATTTAGAATTCCCCCTATTAAATAAAATGATTGGGAATTTACCTTCCTTGCACAGAAATCTTTTACCAAGCTGATATATTCTTTATATTGCATCTGTGAAAAAAAAAAAAAAAGTGAGAAAAATGATAAAATTTTCCTTTTCACTTCAATTCTATTTTTTATCTTTTTTCTAGTCATCATTCTCTTTTCACACTAACAGGGGACATTAATTTTCATTTTACCTGCCTGAATTCTGTCTGCTCATGCACATTCTATCAGGATGGAAAACACCTGACATTTTCTTAAGGATGAGAGTAACGGAGTCCCAACATCACGTGTCCTTTCTCTTAAGAAAAATCATTTTCTGACCTGCTATCTCACAAGATGCATTTTAACTGAAACACGTTTATCTTAAGAAATTGGTCTCTCAGTCCTGGAACTCAAGAAATATCCTTAAACTCAAGTGCAAATGAACATGCACATAAATTCATATCTGAATATATTTTTTTATATACACATACTAAGTCAATGTTGAGATTTTTAAAACAGTTGTGGCATGTATAACCACAAGTATACAAATATCTTTCTAAGCCCCAAGGGTAACAAAACATATGTGTTCCCAGAAAACTGAAAGACAAATGATTTTTAATAAGAAAAAAAAAAAAAGAACAGCAAAACCTGAAAAACAAAGGAGTAATTTATTCCTGGACTTCACAAGTCAAAACTTTATAAGTAGGAAATGGATTTTGATAACAATGTAATGATGTCTAAGTTCTGAAATGTCACTGACTTCAAGTATTAAGAGTGGAAGCCTTACAAATGTTTAGGACTGCTAACTGTTCTTAAAAATGCTGAACAATTCATACATATTTTTCCAGTGGAGAACAGTCACCATTCAAGCAAGACACCACGTGAATAGTAAAACTGAAAGGCAAAAGAACATCACAGTGATTTCTTTGACGAATAAATATCTACTGACTACAGAAAAGTGCTTGTCTAAAGCATTTTCTCCACCCACACACACACACACAAAAATATATAGATAGATAGATATTGTACAGTCAATTTATATACAGATGGTATAGCGTATCCAGGAGTCTGGCTGATGCAATTAGTATACTAGAGTAGGAAATAAAAGGACATTCACCCTATCCTGGGCTCACACGGCAAACTCCAGCAGAGTGGATCTCCAAAAGAGAGCCTTCCCTGCTGGCAGTCAGCTCTTAAATGGGTCTAGGAGAGGTGGAGCCAGGCTCCACCCCTTGCTGTAGCACAGGTGAATTGCCTTTACCTGTGCTCCTGTGGCTGACTCATTGCTCACCTCAGGTGATCAATCAGAGGTTCAGGCCATGATTCAGCAACCCCATACAGATGTCCATTTATTTATATCTAACCTACAAATTTTGCTCTAAGAATTTTAATGGTTGGACTTTCAGAACTTTAAACTGCTTACCTTTTTGATCCTCTATCTTAACAGCTGAATTGTCTTCAGTAGTTTTACATTTAAAAAAAAAAACAAAACCTCTAATGTTCTGTGACCTCACTGGCAATATTGATTTACTGAACATTGTAAATACTGCTCATTTCTTTTCTCTGCATGTGCAACGTTCCGTGAAAACAACCATGTGAAAGACGGGGAATAACCAGCAGTTAGCTTCTAAAAATTAATCAAAGAATATTCCAAGTTGGAAGAGACCTATAAGGATCATCAAGTCCAACCCCTGGCTCAACACAGAAGAGTTTCTAATTTCTTATTCAAACCATGATTTCTTATTCAAAATCATGAAACAGAAGAATGTTCTGTAACCCACAGTACTCTTCCTCCAGCTTTTTAACTCGATGTATTCTTTTCCCACATCTTTTTTATATGCCTACAATGTTAATTATAACAGACACACTATTTCAATAATTTGTCCTTAAGCCATTTCACACCTAATTTAATGAACATGAGATATGTTACTTAATCTAAATGTGTCTGTATGCTACCAAAGATCTCTGAGTATTATAAGAGAAAATTATTTATACTACTACAGTGGAGAAAATAAACAGCCTAGTGACATCTGATATACTGTACCGAATAAGATATGCTTAGCTGATATAACCCATTAAGACAAACTTCCACCAATCACATTTCCGAGTTTTTCCTGAATAGTAAGATTAGTGACTTGCTTGCCTCGTCTAGTACACTCTAGTAAGGTGGCTTTGGGCAACCATCCAGATTCCACCCCTAATTCCCATTTATCAAGCTTCCACACCCAGTTGCAGGAGTTGTCAACAAGCTGATATTCTAGTATTTTTTTTTTTTATCATTAGCAAAAGCTGAACTCTTTACCTCTTTCTCTCTGCATAGCATTACAACATCCTGCATTCTTCACTGTCCTTATCTTTCTCTTACAAGTCTTTCTGATTCGGTACCCGCCTCCTAACACAATACCCGCAGGCAGTGGACACCAAGGAATCTGCTTCTGTGTCACTTGGATATATTTGCTTTCTGCTTGTAATTCTATCTACTAATTATCTGCTGACATTCAAATCTACAGCACCTTGGATAATTTTTAAGCAATAGCAGGGAAATATTTCAAAAGACTTTTTTGGGGAAAGGAATTAAAGAAGGAAGAGAGGATGTCTTCTGTTTTCTCCATTGGTCTATAGCTTACATTTCCACTAAGCATGTATTCCAAAGTCAAAATCATCAGCTCTTGATAACTGTGGAGTTTAGTAAGGGAGTCTGCATCTGGGATTTTCTTATTGTCTCACATACTGAAGTCTGACATGTCTAGATTTCTGGGGCAGATATAGCTAGGCTGTTTTATGCCTGAGCTATGAATCTCTTGCATGGGGATGAAAGGTCACCAAACCATGACTGCGAAAGGTTACAGGTAGCATGCTAGACATATACAAGGAATATGCTATGCTGACTCCAATGAGCAAAGGGTCTTGTTATTTTGAGGCTGATATGCACAAACACTTCTGGTGTGCTGTAAGATTGTAACACAGCTTGTGAATTTCTTATCAAGGCTGGGATCATCATTACCAGGCGTCATTTTATCCAAGGCCAAAGGCCTGTGTTTCTAAATTGGTATAGTTATGCTGCAGTGATGGACCTAGACAAATTCTCTTTGAAGTGTCTGCTGATGTAAGGTGAGGTAAAGATTGGGATTTTCCAAATCTACAGTCAAAGTGAGAAACAGGACTGCACCCCTTTTTTCCTTTCACTGTAATTAATGAATTTGGAGCAAACTGAAAATATGCTGTTAGTATATATATATGTTATATATGTATTATAAACCTATCTGATGCAGATTCAACAGGGAAGAATTAGACATTCAATGTTCTATCCTGAAACACTTTTTTCAAAACCCCTTTCCCCCATTGCTTTTTCCTCCTTTGGTAAAGGTCTATGTCCCAAAAGCATGATTTGTGACATGCTAAAAATGGAACTGGGTGGAGGGCAAAGGAAATGTTAGGTAATAAAGTAAATATCCCACATTCTTCATTCACCATTCACTTCAAGCTTCTGCAGTTTTCTTCTCCAAGAGTTAAAGAAGTTTACAGCATTAACTCCAACCTGCAGCAGAAGTAAAGTTACAGAGCATTTATTACTTTGTATGTTTAGTGTACAGCTTAGGTCATCAAATTCTAGGTTTTTTGAAGTTACAGATCAGAACCTCCGTATTTAATACAAAGACAGGATCTCCAGAGGTGATGAACCTCATAGATTTCACATGCTTACTCAAACACAGAATTAACAACACTCTGGCAGTCTCTACTCAAAATATAATGAGTCTAGACAATTGTTTCAGACAGTGTGCATAACTTATGGAAGGCTAAGTTTGGCTTTGATGGATGTCACTATCATTTTGTAGTCCAAGTCTTGCATACAATTAGAGCACTAAAGGAACTGAATAAAAAGCATCCATTAATGTTGCATTTGCCATCTTCTGTCTCTAGTAGATGATGAACAGAATAGTTTGTTTTTTTTTATTTGAGGTAACCCTTAACTTAAACAAGTGGGCAAAAAATTCCAGACTAAGCAGAACTTCACATTTGAGGCTTACTGCCATTAAAAGACTGAGTATTTTGCCCTGGAATTCTGCCATCAGGGTGAACCTTGCTGCAGTAACATCAGTTCTGGCCGCTAGTGTTCATGGAAGAATGGCTAGGTTTGCTAAGAGCGGTAGCAAACCACCCCATATCTGATCCTACAATTGCAGTTTCTGATGATAAAATACAGTTTTGTCTGTAAGGTACTGAGCCATGATACATTTTTGTCTTCAGTGACAAAAGTTCCCTGCAAATATAAGAAAATACCTCCTATTGATAAAACATTGCTGCACTATGAGTAATGTGCCTAGAGTGGCCACACAGGGGGCCAGTACAATTACCTCATGGTTAGACCACTAAAAGTGAGATGTATAAAGCTCAGTGAAGTGAATCTTACTTATGTTTCTAAATCAATATCTGGTCGATTTTCTACCAGGGCAGCACTGTACATGCAGTTACTGAACATGCGGGGGCAATTTTTATTTTCAACCTTAAGTTTGAAGTACACTCACTGGTGTGACACGTATCACTTGAAGACAGGGAAGAAGTCAGAACATCCGTTGATAAACTTTATTTTCAAAATAAAAGAAGTAATTCAGACTTTAAAAATAGGGCTGGAGGGGACCATAAAAGGTCCAAGATCCAATCTGGTGATTAAACGCTAGAACACTCTGATGTAATTCAGACCTGACAGATATTCATTTCTCTTGTTCATTACAATTCACTCCTTTCACAGGCAAATTTGTTTCTCCATCAAGCTCTCAAGTCCTTCTCTCATGTTTGCTATTCTTTTACAGCAGGGGAGATTTTTTGAACGGTACCAACTAAGGCTTTCCCATGGCTACTTTTATTGGGATTCAAATGCACTGTGTGATATGAGTTACCTTACACTGATAGAGAAAAATGGAGTGTGGCTGACATAGTTAGGAAGGGCAAAACAATTCGAATCAATCATGCAGCTAAATTCTGCAACACCATTAAAGCTGATGAGTACCTTACAAGCACTACTGATAGAAAACTGTAAAGCACTCTGCAGGTAGGAAGTAAAATCAGAGAGAGACTAACATCCACCTTA